TGCAATTTGAAACCAACAGCTGTCTTGTGATAAACATGAGGGTTTCTACTCCTTTAAAGAGAGTCTCAGAAACCAACTTCTGTCATAAAGGGTCACTAATAGTAGAATCAGCACTCAATAGGAGTGAGTTTTCTAGCTTTTCTTAAGGCAGACCTTGGATTCTGGTCTACACTAGATAAGAGCCTAGTGTTATTGCTCAAGGGCTCACAGACAAGATTGTTGTATCCTTTGAAGTTGTTCCAAGAAGTCATTGGCACTTCACCTTCTGCATCAGGGAAAATTATCCTTAAGTTTTAAGATGATGCCACTTTGCATGCCCATGAACCTTCTAATCCTGAAAGAAAGTGAAAGGGGGAAGGACAATGTTAGACATCCTGTTAGAAAAGGTTTTTCATCATTTTTTCGTTTTGTTTTTCCAATCCTGAGGCAAAAGTGAAAGAGGAAACTGGAGGCACGCCCACTACCTATGGTGCCAGAAATGAGGAACTGAAGAAACCCCTTGTTGCATGGTCCACTCCTCGGTGGAAGACTCGGCCTCATGACTTGGCTTCTCTGGGTCCAATCAGCCCTGGTGGTGACTCCATGAGGAGGGCAGCATGACCATTTGTTGCATATTTGTATTAATGAGTATTTATAGGCTATGAAACAGAGAAGAAATGAAAGACTGTGTCTTGACACCATGTTAGGAAAGGTCTAAGGGCTTAGCCAATTCCAGGCAGATTCCTGAGCCAAGCTCTGTGTTTCAGTTCCATATCACAATGCCAGGAAGGTTTTTTTCAACATCCCTTTCCCAGTTACTGCCTCTTCAGTATCTGGTCAAGTGAAGCAGCAATGCTGACAATGCCTCTGAGTCTTCAGAATAAGAGAATTGGCTGATAATATAGTCTTCATTCTACTCTCTTCTGTTCTTGCATGGAAAATTTCATATTCTGGTTTTATTCAGGTCAGTTAAAAAGTAATATTAAAAATTCAGACTCCTTAAGAAATCTGTTTTAGAACAGCCAGTGGTAGAAGCAAATGCTAACAATACTGGAAAAGAACTGGAACAAGAGAAACATCACCAGTTTGGACAACTTTGTCACATTCTTTCAGACTGAGTTAACACACTTTCATTCTCAGGTTTACATTTTGAAGTGTGTCAAATAGACATTTCACTTTGATTGCAGGAAGTTTCTCTTCCCTGAAGCCTAAAAAAACAGAACCAAAACTTGCAGCCTTGTTAATTTATCACCTAAAACTGCTCATCTCCTTTACAGCATTGCTAACTTGTTGGGGTTAGCTTGTGTTTTTTTTTCCAGTTAAATCAATGAAAGACTATGTGCTTCCTTAAACTTAACTTCAAGGGATTTCATAGCTAGAAAAAGTAAATATCCAGCTATTATGGGTTGTAAATCCTCACTCGTATACCTACAGATATAATTACATATTGGAATAGGATCATGTTGGTACAGGGAGTGTCTTAGACAAATCCCTTGAAAAATGAGTAGGTGGGAGAGGATGTGTATTGGCTATGAAATTTATCTTGTCAGTTTCTTAGGAATACCATAACAAGATACCTTTTGTCATCCATAGTACATATATTGTTGTTTGGTGACATCCATTCAACTCAGATTCATAAGGGACTTTACATAAAACAGAATGAAAACAATTCCCAGTCCTGCACTATCTTCACAATCGTTATGTTTGAGCCCATTGTTGCAGTCACCATGTCAATCTAGCTCCACCAAGTTTGATGTCCTTTTCCAGGAACTAGTCTCTCTTGATAATATAACCAAAGTATGTGGGTGTGTTACTCCAAGTAGACTAGAGAAACAAATCCACAGAGACTCATACATGTATAAGAAAGAACTTGATATATAAGAGCAATTGAATATTGAGAAAACATCCCAGCCCAGTCCAGATCAAGTCTGATATTAGCCCTTATGTACGATAGCAGTCTATAAATTCCTCTTCAGACTCACACAACACATGCAATGATGCTGAATGCATGAAGATAACAGGTCAGCGGGTGAAAAGTCTTGTGGCTCCAGTGGCAGCAGAAGCAATTCATCTCAGTGTTGGTGTGGGTCTTCACATGGCTCCTCCAGCTCTAGGCCTCTGACTCCATCAGGGTAGCTCAATGTGTCTTGTCAACAGGAACGTCTCACAGAGAGTGTCTATCTGGCCTCCAGGGAGCTATTTATCTCCATCCCATGTCCAAATGAGGTCATCAAACTGTGACCTGATTGACAGGCTAGACTCCACCCCTTCTTCAAGTTGACAGTAGATTATGTAACTGCCACTGAGGGGTACGCCTCCCCACAAAAAAATTTTTTCAAAAGCTCCATTGAGCAGAGCTTTCAGAGTACACATTTTTCCTGCTGGACAAGCATCAAGCAACTCTCTCTGAGTTAATGCACCCAGTGGCCTCACCTGGGAAGGTTTTCTCTTGTCACAGTGAATATTTTGTAAAAGCAGTTTCATTGAACCTCATTTTTTTGTGATGGCCAATTTAAGAGAACAACATGCAGTGGTGAAATTTGTTTCCTGCTCAGGAAAAATGCCACAGAAACTGTGATGATGAACACAGTTTACAAGGACAGCGCTACGGGAAACACTCAAGTGTACAAGTGGTTTTCTCATTTCAAAAAAAGATGAAATGTCAATTGATGACAAGATCATTCTGGACATCTGTCAACTTCCAACATGGATGAAAATGTCAACTTTTAGTGCATTTGGAGTT